AAATCGTTTTAGCGACCGTTATGTTACGATAACGTTCGTTAGAGTACTTAAGATAAACTTTTATAATAAATCTTTTTATCTCCTGTAGGTACAGTCGCCAGAAAAATGTTATGAAATGTACAAAGTCATGTTCAGAAGTATCTCATACCTACTCTTTTTAAACATACACATAATCACATCTTTGTGTGCAAATAAATATATTTATCTACTCTGATACTATAATACAAAGATTCTAAAACTGAAAACAAAATGCTTATGACAAACATTACGTACGGGCCAAAAATAATAAAAAAGAAGTTTAATTACGATACAGGTCTTGTATGGACACCTGTAACATAATATAACTTTTTAATCATAACGATACACCTATACAACCTCCAGTTGGAACAACGAGGTTGAACCTCTACTTTAAAAAGGTTTCAATGAACGAGTCCGCGACGACGCAACACGCATGCGCAATCGATGTTTGCACCTTGGTGCCAACATTTGACATTTAAAAAAATTTTTCATTATTTAAACAAAGTTTGGTTTTGTTTGTAAAATACATAAGTTTTTGTGTAAAAACATGTCTGAAAGCGGGGATAGTGGTGATTGTACACCACCAGACATTCTGGAAGCTGCGTCAAACATGACCATGAACCTGTTGCCGGCGAAATCTAGGAGCAACTATAATAAATGTTACCACGAATGCATGGAATGGAAAATGAATAAAAATGCTACATCATTTTCTGAAAATGTGTTGTTAACGTACTTTCAAGAGTTATCTGAAAAATATAAAGTGTCAAGTATGTGGGTTAAATACTCCATGATTAAAAGTACACTCAATATTTACAACGAAGTTGACATAACTAAATATAGCAAGCTGATTGCATTTTTGAAACGAAACTCACAAGGATATTAAGGGAAAAAATCCAAGACTTTTACAGCAGAGCAGATAAATAAGTTCTTAAATGAAGCCCCAGACACAGGCTAAACTGTACTTCCAGGGCCCAAGTGGTGACACTTCACACTAGGTTAGGTTAGTATTGTGACCATAACGCGCGAGCCGAGCGAGCGAAGTGAGCGGCGAAGCGCCAGAAAAAAATGTATTAAAAAGAGACCTTTCCTACAAAAAAAACCAAGTATCACCTCTTGGGCCCTGGAAGTACAGTTTTACCTACAATTCAAAGATGTTGAAGTCTTCGAAATTAATTTTCGACAGTTCTTACTTTGATCAATTTATTAAGTATTAGCGGCCGCCCGCGAGTTCGTACGTGTGGAGTTATAGTTATTTTCACATATTTTTTGACCCCAAAAGGAGGTTTATTTCTTAAGATACCTTATTAGTACACCTGTACTCCATCTATAGAGCATACATAACACCAATAAATACCGAACACATTTTTTTTTATTGTCTTATCCCTGAAATGAATTAATGATACAATCTTTAAGAAGAAAATGCACAACTCCTTTTTTAACTTTTAAAAACAACTATTGACCTCGCCCACATGATCAAATTTAAATTATTTATATCCAAAAAGTGCTTACACATGTAATTCGACTTGATGTTTTTGAAATCTCATAGATAGCGCTGCTTTAAAATTGTATATTATGTTTATCGGCCTAAGATAATTAAAGTGTGAAGCTAGCTTATAGCATGGTTAACATAATAACAAAATTCAAATATGCGTCGTTAGATTACACGTTGTTACAGAATGCGTTGAAGAAATAAAGGTTCACTGCTCGTTCCCCGTAGATGATAGCGTGATAATATGTAGCCTATATGTTGACCCGACTTCTTAATCATATTCATGCCAAATTTAAAGTAAATCCATGCAGTACTTTTTGAGTTTATCCCGGACATAATACATACAGACAAACAGACAAAATTTCAAAAAACTATATTTTTGGCTTCGGTATCGATTGTAGATTACACCCCAAGTATTCTTTAAAAAAAATAATGTACAGTTTTGACTTTCCTACCATTTTATTATATGTGTAGATGAAATAAAAAAATGCCGCTCAAGTTACTGCCTAAGTAGAAATAATTACTTTTACTTGTTTATAAATGCGATGGTTACTCTCTCATATTCGCCTGAGACATGTGATACTGCATATGAATAAATCTTTTTTTTTGGAAAATTTGCAACACCTATTGACATGAAAAATATTTTATTTACATAAAAAAAATATCTCTAAAGCATTATAAGAGGACACTGCTTTTCTAGAATATCTATGTAGAAGAATGAATTATTATGTACCAAAAAATGTGAAATGGTGGAAGAGGTGAGACTATGCGATAATGCGAGTGATGTTGATATACCATTTTATATAGCTGTCCTCATATTTAATTGTCCTATCCTGACACATATTTGTAATTAGATGCTTTTTATTTGACAAACATATAAGATTGTTAGTAAAAATATTAAGAAGGTACATACGGTATTGACGATTCAAATAAGTATAGAATAAGTACTTATTACACACATCAAAAACGTCTAAGCGATTCGCATGATTTACAGAAACTGTATGTTTTAATAATTAATGTTTAATTTTTTTCCTAGCCACGTAGATTGGTATACAATCTTTTTTGTTCTTGAAAATAGCATAGGCTGATTTTAATAATTGGTATTTTACGATTAGTTTTATTAATATAGTTTAAATAGCAATAATATTTATAATAGGTATTTCTATGAAATTGCCGTTCTGCCTTACTGCCTATTTGAAGACTACATTTTTCTTTTTTCGCTAAGAATTAAAGTTACAAAATTTTTATTTTTAAAATTAGATATTCTTTTTTGAAAGTTAATCATTTGTTTAATTGTTAGTGCTCTATTTTCAGCGCATTTGTACGTTTTTCGTCATCGTTAAAAATTCTAGTGGGTATGGAGTGTGAGTACCGTCGGTCGTGGCAGCAAAGCGGCAGAAGTGGCACGCAACATCAACAACGTATACGGAGCAAGCACTACTAACGATCATCATCACCCGTTCTTGGTTTGCTCGATTCCATTCTAGAAATTTCGACTTAAGAAATGAACCCCGTGGTTGACCGAAAACTTTAGTCGATAATGACGAATTAAAATCGAATGTGGATGCTGATGATCTCAATGTACAGCTAAATTAGGAGCAGCTGTCGATGTTAGCCTCAAAACAATATTGGGCATTTTTTTTCAAATTAGCAAAGTAAAAAAGCTCGACTAATGGGTGCCCCACAAATTGAATGATCGCCAGCGCGAAGTACGCGTCGTGTCAAGCCTTACACTGCTGAACAGGTACACAAACAAAGGCATATTGAATCGCATTGTTACTTGCGACGAAAAATGGATTCTGTTTGACAAGCGCAAGCGCTCAGCAATTTCGTTAGGTTCTGGTATAGCAACTAAAAATGTCCCAAACGTAATCTGACCCCTAAAAAAGTGATGGTCACTGTTTGGTGAGCTAGCGCCACCCGATGTCATTCATCACAGCTTTTTACCAAACTATTTATCTAACTACTAGCATCAATAAGCTACCACACTGTTAGCAAGAATGCATCAATTGCATGGGTAATAATTACTTTCGTGTGAGGCGGGTCGTTGCGTTCCCTAAAATATGGTTGAGCGAAGCGATGGCTGGTTCATGCGTCATGCTCGTGAACGGGTGCTGCCAGCGGAGATGAGTCTGCTCTATACTACTTTATTATTGTAATGATAATTATTATTAAATTTAGATTGTATTTTACATTACACAACTTGTATTTATACTGTATGACACAGCAATCAATATGTAAGTGAACATTTATTATTTATCTGATAAAGATTTAATGGCGGTGTGGATTCTGGTATGGTTTTCTAGACCTGAACTTGGTTTTGCAGCGGTGTATCCTTGTCATTCTTTATACAGACTCAAAAGGGGGGACTGATGTTGGATTTGGTTTTGGGTTGGGAGAGTAGTGCCAGAATCGACAACAGTGTATGGGTAATCAATCACATGCATGTGTCCTGCCGTTATGTTTATAATTTGTTGTAATAATGTACTCTGGTACTTATATATATATATTTTTTTCTATGTTTGTAACATAGTATCCATTTGTGGTTATGAGTAGTCATGCTCTCTTAAAAATCTCTTCGGTGGTGTCGTGTGAGGCGGGTCGTTGCGTTCCCTAAAAAATGGTTGAGCGAAGCGATGGCTGGTTCATGCGTCATGCTCGTGAACGGGTGCTGCCAGCGGAGATGAGTCTGCTCTTGCTTCATTGGATACTATTAACCGTTGTACTAAACTTTAATCGTTCATTTTTTTTTTGCCGAAACAGCAGGACACGGCATTCCTAAACTTTGTTAAACCAGTTTTTTATATAGTCATAATTTTTATTATATTAGCATTTGTAATGGAAAGTGACTTTATGAGTTACCTCATATTGAAGTCATTTTTCAATTTGACGACTCTGTATACAATACAGGGAGAAAAAAACAGCCCTTGCTGAGTTTCTTGCCGGTTCTTCTCAGTACAAGGTCTCCCGCCGTAGATTTGCGAACCGATGGCGTAGCTTTTCGACATTCACAAGTGCTTGTAACAGCCTATACTGAATAAACGATATTGAATTTTGAATTTTTTGATTAATAAAAATTAAAAATATAGAAATAAAAGGGCGTTAACTTATTTCATGAAAAACGACAATTTCATAGGTAAAGACCTAATATTCCAATAGTAAAAATGAATTTAAAGTTTAAAACCGTATAACATGTTACTTAGACTTTTTTGATGAGTATATTATTTTCAAATGCAAATGCAAGCGTGATTTTGTTCTGTGGCTGTTTTTGTGTAATCTTTGAAGCTAGACAGTTGCCTAGTTTGCAGAATTTGGAGTCTGTCATATAGATAGTCTGTTGTTTATTTTCGAAATATTTTTAAACCTGGAATGCCTTAGTAGGTGCCTTTGCCATTTCAGAATAAATAAGGTGGAAGCACTTTATGTACGTACATATGCTCTTTTTATTTCATAATGTAATTTTCACTAATTCGCAGCATACTTACTAGCTGTGTCCATGATCATAGGTTACCAATAATAAAATAAAAATCTCCTTTATATATGCTAATGGCTACATTTATTACAAAATGACGTAGTCGGTTGCAAATTTCGAAAATAATATTTACATCACCTGAACAAATCTACTATGACATGATTGATGCCGCTAACCATTTCTGTTAAAGAACGAAACGGACGTAGAATTTTGATTATTGTTGACTGGTTAGTATTCACTGGGAGTTGTTATATTACGAGCCTTATTAGTGGATAATCTTGCCTCCGAGTCCGACTCCAATGCCACCAATGCCGTGTCCGGCCAGACCGACTCCGCCATAGCCGTACCCACCGTATCCGTAGCCACCGGCGGCAACGAGCCCACCGACCGGTACGGCGGAGATCACACCTCCGTGAATGAGACCACCGTCAACGGTTCTTGCTACTGAGTCAGCAACGGCCTGAGCTTGAGCAGCGCTGTTGGCCACAGCAGCTACTTGCGCCCTAGCAGCATTGGCGATGCGCGCAGCTTCCATAGCACGGGTGTTGGCGATGGCGACGGCCTGGACACGAGCAGCGTTGGCCAAGCGCTCGGCTTCGACGGCGCGAGCTACCTCGGCGGCACTAGCGGCGGCAGCGCGTCTCGCGGCTTCCAGAGCCCTCGCGTTTTCGTAGGCGGCCGCCTGTGCTCTTTGGATGTTGGCTACGCGGGCTGCGTCGAGAGCCTGGGCGTTGCTAATGGCATTGGCCTGGGTACCTCTCGCGGCGGCTTCGGTCACACGCGCTCCCTGGATGGCGGCAGCTGCGGAGTTGGCGATCTGAGCGGCCTGGACAGCCTGCGCGTTTTGTATGGCACTGAGCTGGGCGGCACCGACGGCAGCTGCGTTGTTGATGGCGGAGGCGCTGCCGATGCCGTGTGAGACTACGGCGGGTCCAGCGACGACTGCGGGGCCTCCCACTATTCCTCCTCCGATGATACCAGCTCCATGGCCACCCCACCCGATGGGAGCAGCCACCACGGACGACAGAATGCCACTCTGCTCGTCTTTAGAGTCCTTTACAGCTCCTGTAAAAGATCGTCTGTTAACATCACTGCTTTACAATTACCAAATTTATTTTATGTTTGATCATGATAATATTTACCATCTGCTACTACTTCATACGCCACTGCGATGACCAATAAAATCTGAAAGCAATGTTCCAATGATTATTTGACCTATCATTTAGACCTTTAATTCATTAATTATAAACACTTTTTTTATTATTTCAATTGAAAAGTAATCACCCGTGATTGATTTATCTTACCGTGAATCGAGACATTGTTGTTATTTGTTTTTGGTGCTAGCTGCTATACGACACTAGATCACGCAGTGCGATGCAATTATGATGCATTACAGAAAATTACCTGCACTTTTATACCGGCTTGTAAAATTATTAACACATACATTAACAATTCTAAGCAGGCTGCCGATGCCGCCCTATTTGAATTCGATTAGGTTGCCCAGTAAAAACAATTCGTCGGTAAGAGCATGTTGCCAATCGGATATACAAATCGCTTTCAACATCTCTCAATATCGGAAACGCACTCTATTTGACTAAACTATGTCATTATAATTTTGTCAAAATGGTCTTATGTGTCATTTTTTTATGTTAAAAGGGTGGCAACAAGGTACTTATATACTAACTGGAATGCTTACGCGACCCTCAAAATCGTTCCAAGAGCATAGCTGAATTGGTGGAATCTGTCTCGTTCTAGTAATGTGCCCAAACAGTTGCAAGAGGGGAACAGATTCCACTTTCGTCGTTGTCGCGCTAGGAGTATTTTTCCCCCTCATGAAGGTAGAAACAAAAATGGACTTTATGTATAACTAGTTAAACTACATTGTTTGAATTCCCATATTGTTTCGTAAGCATTCCAGATAGTATATAAGTTCCTGGATGGCAAACAATCCACTGCATCATCCCCTTCTCAGGGGTTGATCGCATCAGATGAAGCCTGTAAGGCCATAGGCATCCCCCACGGGTGTGTTTTAGTCAGTAAGAGTCTGACATAACCCTACAGCTGGCTGTAGGGTATCCATGCGGATTACACACTCGGTCCTCTGCCTGGGAGGAAACAAAAAAAACCATCCGCCATAGCCCAGACGCTTGCGATACCAAAGCTATCAAATCTCCATACTACTTATCACACCTAGTTGATCATCTTTAATGCGATCATGATAAATAACACCTATAACTTATGTATATCAAGAACTATTTGTGTAGAAGAATACCTAAAAATTTCCTTACAGAGGGAATGCAACTTCCATTTGGAGTGTATCAAACAGGTTTACATTATCAAATATTTTATGTAGAATGTTTCATTTTCATTTAGGGTCATAATAATTAATGGTATCTCAACATTAACAATTTATGGCACATTTCGTTTAATCGAGCAAAAACTTAGCGAGAAAAAGAATCTTTAAATTTTTTTAAATTTTCTAAAAAAATACAACAGAAAATATCAAAAAAAATTTTTTTTTTTTAAAATGATCGAAGGCTGTAGTGTGGCTGACATCGGCCAAGCAATAAGTGCTAATACAGTCTGTGAAACAATTTTATTATTAGAGCTCTTAGAGTAGCGCTAGAAAACATTGTTAAGAATCTTCTTCCATAACAGGGACGATGACTTACTTTTTTTTATTAGCCTGTCTGTAATCTACCTGGATTATCAAAAAGAATGGAACACGTATTTTTTGCTTTTTACACATAATCAAAACATAACAAAGATATATTGATTTAAAATGTCGCATGACGTCACGACTTGACAAAAATTTTACTTAGAACGTCACGAGCCCCATACTCCCAAACTTTGACGCGCTTTATCTTTGTCAGTTTTTAGTTGATTGACAAAAGAAAAAATACGTGTTCGTACTTTTTTGATAATTTCACTGAGTGACTCAATATAATTTCGTTTACTTTATGCTGTCTCACCCCTATTAAAATATTGCGGATAGCGAGAGCTGATAGCGCTGTAGTTTTTGTATATCTCTTTAGTTCGATTTTGTTTTTTATTATTAAATATTTGTTGCATCTGTATTATTATTTACCATTGTATCTGTATTATTATTTACTGGTAAGAAAGAATAAGGGACGGTACAGATCAACAAATTGTTGATCGAAGGATGAATACGAGCATTTGTGCTCCTGTCATGGATGTTTAATACAAATAATAAAAATAATAATAAATATTTCCAACACACACACCAATTAGCCTAGCCCCAAAGTAAGCACTATAAGGCTTGTGTTATGGGATACTAGGGTAACGGATAAAATACATATACTGTACATATATTAGTATATTTATATACAGATACATATTAAACATCCATGACTGGAATACAAATGCATGTATTCATCACATAAACATTGCCCCCGCCGAGATTCGAATCCGGGACCACTCGAATCGGCGACACCATGAAACCCGGCGTACAAACCACTCGACCACGGAGGTCGTCAAAATATGTATTTCTATAGAAATATACTTGTATATGTATCAGTATATGTACCTATTCTATGCGTTACCCTAGTATACCATAACATAAGCCTTACAGTGCTTACTTTGGTGCTAGGCTAAATGGTGTGAGTGTTGAAATTATTATTATATACATTTAAATTAAACCATACAACATTATATTGTAAAACATCCAAAATCTAAACTGTTTACTCTAAGGCTTGATATTATACAGCATAATCAAGCACAAGCAAACCAATTACACAATGTATCATGATTAATAGATAAGATCATAATAGAAACTAGAAACAGTTGGTGATGAAAGAATATGTCCTCCATTAAAAAGAATAAATGCACAAGTATTAGATAAATATACAAATAGGATCATGCGCCTTTTCTTGATAACAAAATGGAGATTACGTAAATAACATTCACGACAAACCGTGATTTTTGAGAAAAAAATGTTTTTACAGTTTTACAGATGAAAAATGTTGTAAGTTGTTATTTGATTTTGAACTAATTGTGTTCTTTATAAAAGCATCGAAGGCGTTGTTTTATCTTCATAACACAGAATATACGCATAATTGTTATATTGAGTGCACATGCAGCGTGTTTGAATTTACAATTGGAAATTCAATTCGACTAAAGCGAATTATGGTCATGCACCATAATTTAAGCGGATCACTTTTAAGCCGCGAGTGCCGTATCATCCCTTTTTGTTTTAATCTAAGGTCTTATCTATCTAATATATCTAATATGTATTTCTATTCATTATCCTAGGATCTCACAACACGAGCCTTTACAGTGCTTATATTAGACCCAATCTATGCTAATTTAAGTGAATGTAACTCATTTTTATCTGTGAAGATGCTCTAATACTAAACAAACCCCACGGGCGCGGAATAAGAAATATAAGTAAAATAAGTATTTGTACCGTGCCACACATGGCGCGAATGATGTATACCTGTGGCCAGCAACAAAATTGTTACATTTTTAATCACGGTTTAAAATTAATCGAGGATAAATAAAAATTTAAAAGTATCTGTTCATGTTGTAAAATAAAACAAAGCTTTCAAATGATATATGTTTCGTCGCTGCCGGAAACCAACTTCCAGTTCTGAACCATCTCCTTTAAAAGTTCGGTGAGTATTTTCAATTTACTCATAATACTTTGGAATTTGCCGGACTCACTACCACCCTCCATACAAATGTGAACGGTGTACTGTCCATTTGATATTAAATCTTCGTAGTTTTGTTCAAAGTTCATTATTACTTAGTTTTTACTTACATAGCAACCGTATGGCCCGCCTAATGGTAAGCGGGCACTGTAGCCTATAAACGCTTGCGATACCGAAAATATCACTGGCACCGTTGCCTACCCTGACCCTATCCCCTACCCCGGGAAGCCCTGGAACCTTACTCACCGACAGAAATACAACACCGACAAAAGATAGTGTTATTATGAAACTTATGCATTAAAAACCGCTGTCACCAGACCCGTCTTTCCCAGTGGGCACTTTGGGCAAGTGCCCAGGGCCCCGCGATCGATAGAGGGCCCCCTCAGATCAAATACAAAGACCCTAGTTCTTGTTAAATCTCCAAACGGAAGTCATAGGGACCCCATTATTCTATTATGCCCAGCCCCTCTAGCATGACCACCGAAAAGACCACGTTTTGGTGATCATGCTAGAGGGGCAGGGCCTCCAATAGGTCAAACACGGCACTGGCTGTCACACTTATATTATAAAGGCGAAAGTTTGTGTGTGAGTGTGTAAGTTTGTTACTACTTCACGTCTAAACGGCTGGAGAGATTTAAATCCAATTTGGTATGGAATTAGCTTGCACCCTGGATTAACACATACGCTACGTTTTACTGCGGGAATATATCCCTAATAAACCGCGGTAACACCGCGGGGCACAGCTACTAATTTATAAATTTCAAAAAACTTTTTACTAAAGAAAAAATAATCAACTCGTCCCAGGTATCAGACTGGTTGGATTAATTATACGTTACATAATTTTAACAAGTTCAAGTTGCCTGAAACTGACTCACTGTTGTCTGTCGCTACTAATCGCATTATGTCAATTAACGTCGATCAATTTTAATTACTAACTATTCAATCAAAATCAATGTCTGCTTCCAGTCCGCAGTTATATGCAGTCAAACATTTTCTTTGGCTAAAATAATACTTAGCATTGATCCTTGTCCGGGGCCTTGGCCAGAGTTGTATTAAAGATGGGGTAGCGGTAATTACAAGTAGGGACATCCCGCTCTTCACAGCCTGCCGTCCCGTTTTAAGGTAGAGCAATGGTATTTTAAGGTAAGGCGTTGCCCCATAACACCCCCCCGCCCCTTCCCCAGCTTCAGCCTTATCCTTGTCGAACCATTAACTGTTAAAAGCGAGTGTTTGACAAGATAGTAAAAAACTGGCCAAGTGGGATTCTAACTCGAACTAAGCATAAATAACTGTACAAACATGCAATATTTACAAAGATCGCACAAAAGAAGTAAATATATGACGTTTTAGGTATAGTAATCTTCTTTGTTTTTAAACTTTTGTTATTATTATTTATCAATGCTAAGTTACACGCATTCTGTGATAAATGTGATAATTTTAGATTTCTACAGAGAAACTTAAACCTAGGTACATTATATGCAACTTGTTAGAGAAAATAAAACATCTAGTTTTATTTTCTCCAAAATTTTTGCCACAGGTAAAAAAAGTGTCCTCCACTTTACAGATGACAGGTTTCGCTTCTGCAAGTGAGTAAGAATGGATGTGAAGTGGATACACTCGAAGCATAAACATACTTACTTTTAATGTATGAGTATTTGTAATAGTTGATTATTTTTATAATTGCTATCATAAGACTAACAATAACCGGTTTTGTTGCGTCATAAGAAGAACATACTCCCGGTTCAAGTTTTCTATAAACTTAAAGATAATGTTCTTAAAAATTGTGGTAAGATGAGTTATTGAAATAAATGCATTTTTTCATTTTATATATGAGGGGTCAGTATCAATATTATTTTATGTTAAAGAACAAAATAATGCACTAACTGCATTTGTGTTAATATGGTTGGACCATCATCTATCAGTCTTCATATATCATCGCAGAACGAAAAACATAACTCTCCTTCTGGTGCAGTCGGATCCTATATCCTATCGGACCGCACGATACAATAATTACACCGGCGTCCAATACAAACGTAATTATTCGAAATATTCAGTTCCTTTAGAAACACAATCTATTTGCATACGACTTACAAGTAGGCAACGCTCTGTTCTTGGATCTGTGCGTTATTTATGCAATAATGGTTTATAAGTACTTACTTAATAACTAACATACGCAAACTGCTTCTTCGCCCAAAACTGCATGTCAAACAGCTCAGACTACTCACGACGCGCACCAAATGCGATGTCAAAAAAACTGGATGCTTACAAGTTTGCGTGTCATTTAGTATTCCCCTTATTGGGCAATCAACGTTACAAATTGTCTACTTGCCGACTGTGGTTATTCAATTTTTAAGCAATTAAATGGATTATCATAATTAAGTATTCTCTTCAAATAGAATTTTTACTTGAATGTTTTTTTTATTATTAATGTATGTATAGAACCACTTGATTTATCTATTTTAGTAAAGTAATCCCCAGTTTTAACTCCAAATTAAAGTAAATGTGAACAGTCATACCAAATTTCGCATTTATATATTAGTACGATGACACTTGTTTTAAAGTTTATTTTGCCGTATTAGATATAGATCGCGTAATCCCACCCATAGGGTATTTGCTTTGCAAGTTTATAAAAACAACACGTTCTTTTATAATCCAATCAAAAATATGTGTCGTCAATACGATAACCTGCATAAGGATCATTCTTCCTAGGACATTTTTTGTAGTCGGCTTCTTGAATTTCGGAAAGAAATCCAAAGATTAATAACTTCATTAACAAAAAAAACAGTAACTTTGTACTTTTGTTTAAGTGTTTTTTTGTTGTGTTTAATTGTTGAAATTCGATTTTAAATATTTTCAGTTTCCTTAAACTTCAGGCCATAAAATTTTATCATGTTATGCCCACATATTTTGAGTTACAGTTTTGTTTTATATTATTGTAATTGCTTTGTTTTTTAATATTTAATTGTTACTTGTTTTGTGAGCTAATAAATAAAAAAAACCTCATCATTACTTACGCTCTCTAAAGCGGAAAAGAATGAAAGTTAAGTTATTATGTATATCAATACAAAACACAACCAGAAATCATTTTTTTCCTTATTTGTACATATAATTATATCAATCTACAAATGAAACAATTATATGTGCAAATTGTACGGATATCAAGCTCCGGATATTTTGGCATTATTAAAGGAACCAACTCATTATGTGGAAGGACTTCATCATTCCATTTAACTTATCATTAGCCCAACACGAATTCATGAGATAAGAGAAATCATAAAACTATTAATATATACGATATCCGTTAAATTGGATCCCACTGGCGTCGTATATATACATATTAGAGAAGATATTGTTTTAATTGAATATTATCACATTATTTGATCCTTCTTCAATACCAGTGAGATATATTGAGCGAATTTAGCAAAAATCAGGCAGAAACACTGGTAAAATACAAAATATGGTTCTGGGGAGTCCGCTCGAAATATTTTGGTTGCTCGTGACAAGGAAATAAATAAAAAGTTTAAAACAGGTTTAGTGATATTTACTATTTTGTTTAGTTATGAATTGAATCATTTTCTTAATTTTGTATGTTATGTCATATACGAAGGCGTTATTAGCAGGCAAACGATGTTACAGCCAAAGAATTGATTAAAAATTACTCAATATTTATATACAAGTAAATTGATTGGAAATCGTTTTAATATAAACATTACTATAGATAGTAATACATAATAACGTTTTTTTTAAAGAGATTTGCTCCTTTTTAATTTAGTTTCTTGCAAAAATTTATCTTGAAGTGCTTTTATTGATATCAATCAAAGGTAGCTTCAATTTTTTACGGATTTCATAGGAATTTTACAAAAAAAGCCATACAGATTTTATACGGAATTTTACCAATTTAATCTAAGAAACCCTTATCATAAAGATTTTTTTTCTCTTTTTATGTATTGTTTAAAAATCTAGGATACGCAAGGAAACGAACGATGCTAATACTTCTTATTTTCGCAACGAAATACCTTTTTGTATCCCATAAAAGGAAATATAGAGTCAAGGAGTTTCTTAAAAAAATGAAGACACCAATATTTTCCTATTTTAAATATTTTATTTACAATAAATAAATAATTTAAGTCTATTTATATATATTTCTAACAGTCTTTCTCGAGCACAGGTACTGGGTAGTAAGCATCATTGTGGGGGTGTCTGAAAAAGAAAACAAAATAAACTTAAAAAACAAGTTTGTTAAAGGACTTCTTAATTCATCTCCTTCTAAAAAATTCACTTCTACCAGGCTGGACTTGAACCAACGCAGTATGTCCTCCAATTAATTACAATTTCTTTTGGTAAATATATTTTCTTACATAAGTACATAAGAATAAAATATTTTGCCAGAAAATAATTAGTAGGTATATTAACACTGACTCTATATTATTACGCATGTTATCATCTGCCCCCATTAATATTCAATTGATCCAAAATATGTATAAAATCAATACTGGAGGAAAATACGTACTAACAAAAAAACTGTAACGCCGGTTTATTTTGTTTGCGCAAAGTCTTCGCATTGCAACTACATAAGTTACCAGGGGCTCTATGACAGTCTTCCAATTTGAAAATTTAAGAGGGTTTATAAGGTAAATCTAAATAAATTTTGTGAATTATTGCCAACTTCAAGCCTAAATTTCGTAAATATCAAATTGTTATCTTTCAAATAACAATAAACATCCGGTGCATCGCTTGCAATCGTTTTAGATATACGTACATTGTTGCTTGTTAGACTTCTACTATTGGCAAGTTAGAAAACGACGCCTTCTCCTAAATAAAGATCAGCTTCATCACTAGCCTATTAATGTCCCCACTGCTGAGGCACAGGCCTTCCCTATGGATGGAATAGGGAGAATTGGGTCATGACACACCACGTGGGCCCAGTTCAGATTGGTGGGTGCTAATGACTGCATATGCAGCCAGGTCAACGCTTTAACGCGCCTACAGAAGCATGGAGAAACTCGTGATATTTATTTATTTTTGGTCAGCCATCCAAAGACCGACCATTGCGAAAGTTCTTTAACTTCCACGATCGCAAGCCGAACGCGCTATCCACCTGCGCCATCCAGCACCTCTAAGTAAGGATAATATAAATTAAATAAGAAAAACTTACTGGTAAACGTTCATAGTGGGTCCAACGATGGCGACCGGAGGTTGTGGGTGGATTACTTGAGGCGGCGGCGGCGGAGGCAGAGGCATAATGAAAGCAGGCCTCGGCATCAACAACGGCGGGGGAATAACCATTTCCGGCCTAACGATGACGTCATGTTCCACCACCACCTCGGGATGTGGGGGCTTCACGACTATAGACTTGGATGGAAGGAGAGCGGCCAGCAAGCTGCCGACAGCCATGGTCTTCTCTTTGGCAGCAGTGTGCACTGTGCCGATCAGATTGGACAACCGCTCGAATATCGTAGAAAGACTGGGAGGTTCGACCACGATGGTGGTTTCGGGTATCTGCACCTGATAAAAATACAAATTATAAATTTAAAGGAAAGTTAATAAGGTAGAAGGATTAGCCGTTGACTATTTCCATTAAAAAAATATGCAGCTGTATCTCTGTACTACTACCTATTTACTATGTAATGCAATAAAGAATATATACATCTCCATGCCTCCAATAGGAACTGATCTTCAACGCTTTGAATCGTCTCTCCACAAAAAGAGCTCATCTTATTATAAAGAAAAAGGTTTTAATTTACCTACTTTTTCATTATAACAAAAAGTCTACTGCGTTGAAGTCTTTTCTTGAAAGATATTTTATATTCTGTTTTTAAAGAAAAATAATCTCAAGCTCTCAGTAGCAGCATGTACGTTTCTTTATTCATGTAGTAGCAGTTTTAAAAAAAACCCCCACACACGTACACACCAGTTGTAGACCGGTTACATAAACTTTAATAGCTACTAAATTGTCTATTATTATTGTTACCATTATCATACTTCTTTGCTTAATGAATCCTACTAAGTTAAATTTAAATGTAAAAGGTTACATTGATGTTTCTTACTCAATCAAGCAAAAAAACTGTACGAATTTGGATTATGTACAGATAATTTGTTCCTAGATCAGGATATAGGATACCTACCTTTTTACCGGAAAATTTTTCTTTACCTGTATAGATGGTTTCTCAGGCAGGTGGTGTACTACATGGGTGCCCACAGCAGCGGCCCCCGCCGCTAGGGCGCCCTTCGCGGCCAAGCCTTTAGCTGCGAGTAGGGCCGCGCCCTTTACTGCAGCTTTCGCCCCCAACACAGCTGCACCTATAAAAGTATAGTTCATAGAATTGTGTTGCCTCAAAAAACTATATCGTTTATTACGTGTCCGTACCCAAAGACTGACAAATGGTAATCCTCTTAATATGATTTAGTCTGTCTGTTAAAGGGTTCTATTTTTAACGGAAGTAGGTATTTAATTTAAAAAAATAGAATCATGTACCAAACTCCTAAAATTTTCATGGAATACGTTTTCTGTGGTATGGCTACTGAAAGATTCTTCTCGACTTCTTTTGCTTGATCTAGTTTTAAAATTCGTTTTCTGTCTAGGCTTTTATCAGCAAAGTAAAACAGTTACAATAACCCTAAAATTCAAGTCCAGTTAAAAGCGGTTTTCGGGAACATTAGAAGTTTACGGGGTAATTCCGAAAGTTTCCAGTATATTCCATAACTCAAATAAGAAGTAACAGTACTTAACTAATGGGCCATAATTTATTGCTAACGATTAGTTTTATTACTGTCATTAATCGACGTTGGTCGACATATTAAACATGTTAAAAACAAATAAAACTGTACTTTTATCTTGATCTCTGCTTACGTGTAAGGAGTATCAGAATTATACGCACTTAAATTTCCCTAAATTTGTATGCAACATATAAACAAAACTGAATCAAGGGTAAGAATACTAAGGAGAATGAAGACTAAGGAGGTCAATAAAAGTGTTTTCTTTTCTTCTAAATTTAAAAAAAAAAAGATCCAATAATTTACAAAAATAAGCAAGATTTTGTTATGTTATAAGACGAAGCCAAGCCTTTTTCCTAATATTATTAAGGATGCCTAACTCTTAAAAATGTTTACATATCTAAAGTTTTAACTGTAATAACGGTGTCGATTCTGGCATAATTCTTTAGAGAATCATATTAAACTTAAAAAACATCAGTCTCTCCTTTTCATCGTTATTTAAATATCCTTGTCATAGATACATATATTCAAGGATATAAATTTTTCAAACTGCAAACCAAAGGTTTCGACTAAATATAATAAAATATCTAAAATTCGAAGAAATAAAGTCAAAAGATCATGTTCATTTATGGAAAATTTAAACCTATGAAAGTTTTAGGATTCTACCTATTTCCGATCAAGAGTCAAGATATAACTAACGCCTTGTGACCTTTGACAGACAGATAGACGGATAGTGGGGGTAATTCATAAGATTTTGTTTCTCTTAAAATACTGCATCGCTGTCGAGCGAAAAAGCTACATGCGGCCACTTAGTATCAAAGTGTCCTAACTTAACATTTTATACTGGTTTTATTACAAGATGACCTTAAAAATCTCTACAAGTACAATAACGTGAAGAAAGTTTTTTTTTTACTTTATTCAATTTCATTCTGTGTGTGCGTGCCGTGCCCAGCTGTCTTAATGTGTGTGAGAAATAAGTTTGTTTACTTCGTTAGCGGACGCTTACCTTTGAGAAGAGCTCCTTTGGCGACGATGCCAGCACCGACAGCCGCCGCCTTAGCAGCCATCAGCGAGGTGCCGAGTGCTGGCGGCACCAAACAGGAGAAACATGCCAACTGCAAAAGCAAATATTTGTTAATGGCTACACATGTTCAGTTTATATAAAATTTTGAAGAATTATATAATATTTGTTATCGCGTTTAAGCACTTAATAAATACCTTTTTTAATGCATTGAGTTTTATTAGATTTTTAATACATGTTTGCCTAGTAATTTCCATAAAGTAAAAGATATATTAACCGATTTCTGCGAATTTCCACCATCACTTCACTTTAGAATAGAAAAGAAATATTTTTATTGCTCTCACAGTATCTAATACATAGTTCATAGAGTGTTACATTACACTTTGGGAATGATTGATTAATTACCTACCTATGCCTCTGAATTTTGTATGTTTTTCAGTGGTCGAATTAATGTTTTCTACATAAACAAATATCAAATTTATCAAAAAAACCTTCAAAATCAATGCTCGTAATAAGCAAATCAAATTTTTTTGTCACTTTTAATGTAGTAGAATGTTACACTAGTTTAAAATACCTAAATAAATAGCTTACCGACAAAATAACCAACTTGAGCTCCATATCGAATACTGTTCACTGGCAACACCGTAATGAGTCTTCACCCGAGGGAACATTCTTATAAAAAGAACCATTGCGACACTCTTCATTAATTACAAGAAATCATCGAAATACCATTAAATTATAAAATGTATTGTAAAACGAACTCTGTTATGTTAAATATAGAGGTCAAATTTGACAACGCGTAAATTAGGTGTTGCTATGGTATAGTATGGTATTTATATAATAATGTTTTAATTTACTATTATATAGTAATGTGATCGATTGTTGATTACACTTTCACCTAATTTTCTATGAATCATGTCATACTTCTACAATACATTTATAAGTGAAGTCTATCAAACGAGTTGCCCTTCCCAGGTATTTTAATTGTATAATGATAAATGTTTTACAAAGAATTTAAACATATGAGACGTTTGTTATAAACAGAATATCTCACCAAAGATCCCGCCGAATCTTAAAATTTGAAACGAAATAAATACTGAAATACCTACAGATTACAAGTTTGAAAACTGTATTTATTTACTTAATCAGTTTTCGCTCTAAATGACTACAATGAAAAAAAATGGTTGCCTGTAAAGTCGGTTTTACGGGCGAAGATTTTACGTGACAACGTCTTTTTCTCGGTAGAATATTTATTGATATGAATATAATTAAATTGCACAATAGGAACAAGGAATTGAATGAAAATAAGAATTGCACAAATTTTAACTATAGAAATATATTTTGTTTACTAAAACATTGTACATGTAAACTTAAACTTAACACGAGAGACTCATCGTAACGTTACCGAGCGTTACACTTTTTCATAAGTGACTCCCAGCCGCAACCTAATTTAAGACGTTGTCACGTCAAAATGACAGAAATATGTATTATACATTGTAATTATGAAAAAAATGCTATTGATTCCATCTTACTTTTGAGCAAGGACCAATTCTATTAAAGGGGTTTTATAGACTTAACGTTACTATTATTCTTTTGAATCATGAAGAAACCAAATTAAAATTAGCCCCCTCCATTCAAATCACTTTAATTACACATACCTATATAGGTACGTAGCAGAAGCCCTTATTAATTTCCTGTTATGGAAATTAATAAACACAAATTTTACAATACCAGCCAGAGAAAACATGTGTCAGGCAACTTTCATTACATTCATATTATTAATTAACAATAAGATATTCCTAGCGACTATTTTAAATTTAAGAAGTGCCGATTAAACAATTTTAAACCAAATCAGCATAGTTAAAGCCCAAGGTGATGCCTTATTATTTAAGAATTATTTAACAGTATAGTAACCATTCATAAGGAAACAAGTTTTGATACACAGTCACAGTTTATAAAAAGGTAAATTAATTATTTCTTTTGGAAATTATTTGTTTTTCATTATAAATCTAATCTAAGCTACAATGGCCTAGCCGAGAATCGAAACCAGTAAACCTCAATAAACCTCTTCTTCTTTATAGTTTTAATAAAAAAAATATCTATAATCATCAAATAATAATGGTATTAATAGTAATCAAATGTTATATATCTACTATTGTTTTTATAAAAAGTTGTACGAAAAAACTACAAAAACAGAAAGGTATTTTACTCGTATAACCAAAAACTGTATAATTTTAAGTATAAATATTTATTTTATGATGTCCTATAGAGCCAAAAAAAATCGACATTTGTAGCTAGCAACTAGCTAATTTGCTATGTTATTATTAACTTATTTGACACGAAAACATTTAAAGGAGATTGTTCAAATTGGCCCTTGGCGTAATTTATAATTTAATTTACAGTCATTAGATTTCAACGGACATTGTATAATATATTTACTTTAAAAAGGACTTTTAATTATACCGGTTTGAAAAACATACGAATCGTTTTTAATGGCTATGGGTATAGTAACATTCAGCCAAAGACTGATCGAAGTTGTTTATATAATACTAGCTGACCCAGCGAACTTCGTACCGCCCTAAAAAAATAGGGGTTGTCCAGCGGACAAAATTGTGAATCTAAACCATTCTCAGATCCCCTTGAACACACACAAAAAATTTCATCAAAATCGGTCCAGTCGTTTAAGAGAAGTTCAGTGACATACACACTCACAGAAGAATTATATATATAAAGATAAAAACAAATCTATTTTGTAAATATCGATTTTTTTTTTATTACACTGTGGTATTAATATCCACAACTATATTATCATTTTCACTACATGCAAATGTGCTCAGAAAATTATTATAGATGGTAGGCGACATCATAAAGTCTATTGCCATACATTTTTCGCCAAACACCTCCATAAACACATTATAATCTGTATATATGTTTGACTTTAAAGTATCTATCTATCTATGGGCCTACGTTCCCTGACTATAAATTAATAAATAAATAAAATTATAAGGTGTGATACACTAAAAATCTAAAATATGGTTATCTTAAAAACATAACAAAAATAATGAAGCTACTGAATATATGGCTATAGAACCTAAATCTCTTAGCTTTCTTTGGTTAACGAGAGTTTAAAAATTCTCTCTAATCTGTGGCTCATTCACAATCATCACACAGTTTCTGTCACAGAAACCGGAAATGACACCTGATTTTAAAAATTACTCTTATGCATTAACTTTAAAAACAGGCAACTATCTGTTAATCTACATGCTCTATATACCTGAATCTAATCCATAATTTCGGTACTTGGCTTGATTTCCCTAGTTTACTATATAACTCATTTGTTTTTTATTATTTTAATATGTTCAGTGTATATGGTTTATAGAAGTTCAGAATATTATTGACGGACACCCCCGTCAATAATATTCGTTTCTACAGTAATTTATATATAATTTCGAATCTAGAAACTATTTTTCATGATTATTGGTCTTTAGGCCAAACATGTATGGAAGCTGAGCAATCTCCTTTAAAATTATTAAACAACATGTCCGCTAGATCCACCTAACAATATGCAAATTTCTTGAAACATTTTTAAAGTCCAAGTGTGTTAGGCTTACTTTACATAATATGAGCTAGTCGGCATTAAACACTCAGCCCCATTATTAATAAACGAGGAATAAGCTTAGACTAGTTACGCCGTGTTTTGTTCATATCACTCAAATGCCATTTGTCATTCATTGAACAAAGACAAAACATGGAGTAAATAATCCAAGCGTATTCTTTGTTTATTAATAAGGGGGTCAGTTCTATTCCGTAAGAACAAACCCCTTCAGCTGTTTTTGAAACCAGATTCGAGAGAAAAGTCCTAATTCTTCTTTCGAAGCTGGTTCCGAAAAAATATCTCTGCTTTCGAAAAAATATTAATAATTGTTACATCAAAACTCATCGCTTCATCTTAAAATCTTGTTATATATTTTTAAGCATCAATCTGCATTCATAAATCGTAATATTTTTAATAGAAAAACATCTTTATAATAATAGAAGATTTTGTTAAAAAAAATCCACGCGGAAGGGACGGACGGGTCTCGAACCCGCACCCTTCGCTATCCGGGTGAATGCACTGACCATTATGATACCGAGGCCCTGATGGCTGTGTCGAATTTTCTCTAACCTTTATTAGAAGAAATAATCTTTCTGCAAAGCAGCACCTTCTATTAACAAGTAATAAACATTTGAAAGAAGAGTTAGCGATTAAAGTTATATTTTTAATTTTTAAGCATTTAACTGCTACATGTTTAAATCTAAAGAAAATTTGGTTAGAAAATAATTCACACTGACCAGGCAACAGGCGGGACTCGAACCCGCACACTTCTCTATCCGGGCGAATGCACTGACCATTATGCTACCGCGCGGCCCTGATGACCGCGGAAACTTTGTGGGTTACCTACAATGCGAAGAGATGATGCTGCCTTGCAGCCTAAGAAAGGTTAGAGAAAATTCGACACGGCCGTCTGGGCCGCGGTAGCATAATGGTTAGTGAATTCGCCCGAATAGCAGAGGGTGTAGGTTGGAGTGCCGTCTGCTGCCTGGTCTGCGTGGATTTTTTTCCAACCTGTGGATGGAATAAGGAGATTCGACTATGACCCATGTGGGTATTTAAAAAGCTTTCCGAGAAACCTTAACAATTATGATAGTTTACAAGTAAAGTATGCTACTGTGACAAAATGTTCACACCTTAATGTTAAATAATTTCAGTACACATTTGAAACAGGAGTGAAATGGAGATGATTCTGCTTAGAAATGTTTTGAATTTTTACCTTGTAAACACAACAGCAAGGCTGGTTTTGTGCATTAAAATTAGCAAATATTTTTGTCTTCATTGTATATTATTATTATATTTTCACGATCGCTCTAGAATCGATTTTACCCAGAGGCCCATAAGCACGAATTTTTGACAGCTCCGTAACGTTTCGTCATTTTCAAATTTTGTATGGAAAAAAACGAGTGTGCTTATGACCACACGACTGAGAAGTGAAACTTCTTTAGCTCCATCTGTATGTATAGATATATATATATATATATATTATAAAAATGTGTCTACAATATATACATGTATGTACATATACATATTTCATTTACTTTTAGTTATTATATTTTATTTTATAAGGTTTTTAGTTTTAGGTTCATTGTTATAGTATATTTTTTGTTTTAATTATTCTTAAATTTGTTCATATTACACCATATTGTTGTAGTACATATTATGTTATTTCATTTACTAGCTATAGAAAGCGAGAAAGAAAAAGTGCGCGCGGACTGCTTTCTCTTGCTTATATCCCCCACCCAACTCCCGTTCGCCTCGCCCGAACACACTTTTCGTAACGTGTAACGCATTCGGCAGCTTACCCCCAAATCAAGCGTGCGTGAAGAAGTTTCACTTCAAAAAGCTAGTTTTTTCTTGCGTCCGAAAGACTTACTTAAAAAACTAAGTAGCGCCCCGCTACTTAGTTTTCTTAAGAACTTCAACGATGCGATACGATAAGGAGCTGTAAAAATTCGTGCTTGGAAATCAGAACGCGGCGCCGGCCGGCGCGGCGCCGGACGGCGCGGCGCCGGACGGCGCGGCGCCGCGGCCGTCGCGTCGCTCGATGTAACCAGTAGATTATCTCTCGGCAACGAATTCCGAATATTTTCTTCATTAATAAGTAGATCCAAGTATCCGGCTATTGAGTGGTTGAGTCGAGTGTCCCTCAGTCAGTGGCGTAGCGTAGTGGAGGAGGCAAGGACGGCCCGCCCCGCACGGCACTTCTTAGAGGGCGGCAAAATTTTACAATAAATAATAAAAATATATCAATCATTTAAATAAAAGGGCGGCAAAATTGTCCTTCGCCCCGGCCGCCCGACATCCACGCTACGCCGCTGCCCTGAGTTTTTAGTTAATTTTATTATATGCATCGTTAATTTCGCATTTCAGAAAGAGAACATCTTGGGTCTTATGGTCGCTCAGAGTCAGACAAACCAAAGCCAGTAAATATTTCTGATCGATCCCAAAACTTCAATGTTTTTTCAGTATACATAAGAGATTTGTATTTTTAAGAGAGGTAGGACATAGCAGATTCTTCCGCTCGAATTTTAGCGCCCGTCTAGGGAAGTAATATCCAGCTTCCAGAATCAATGTAAAATAAAACTGTCTTTTGGTGGTGTTGTGTTTCTGTCGGTGAGCAAGGTTCCAGGACTTCACGGGGTAGAGGTGTGTGGTCAGGATAGGCAACGGTGTGAGTGATATTTATGGTATCGCAAGCGTCTATAAGCTATGATAGTGGGCTTAAAAATTATAGTTTTCTTTTTGTTTTTCTTTTCCTTTGCTTATGTTTTGTTGTTTCATAGTTATGGTAGTTACCAGGCCTGCAATACAGCCTGTCTGTTAGTGTCGCCGCAAACAGGCCACACGCCACAGCCACAAACGCCGCCACGAGAAGCTAGAAGCGGCTACGCCTACCTACTGAAGTGGCTAAAACGCGCAACAGCGGCCGACTAAGATAAGGGAGAGAGGGGTGGGGAATCGCGCGAATGACGTGTGGCGGCGTTTTGTATCGGCGCATTAAGTGGCCGGTGCGGGCCACAAGAAGCGAGCAACGACGATTAGTAGCGTGTGGCGGTCACCGGCGTACCGCATGTGGCGAGTC